TATGACCATCAAAATATCAAATATTTGGTTTACAGAATTAGAATTAAAATGCAATAACTTAATACATAATAAATATAGGAACAAAGACCCAAGCTTGTTCATAATAAAGTCTTATCTTAGGTGTTTCTCATTGATTTGGTAATACAAAATGTTAATTGAGTCTTAAACTCAAAACTGTGTTTGGACCCAAATTATAAAAAAGTACTACCTAATATCTAGTCAGTTGAAAATAAATATTTAACATTACAGATAACTAGGTGGACCAAAGCTACTTATCTGTGCGATATGCACAAATAATTTAGGGTAAAAATCCCAATAATCTAATTAAACACAGCATCACTCAGTATAAAAAAGCAAATTAAAAATGCTTTTGTTATTATGCCTATGTATTTTTAACACCTATTACATATGTGTTATAATTAATATAATATACACTGATTATACAGTGTTGGGGAAATTACTGTTTTTTGGTAATTATATTACATTACTAATTCCTTATCAAAATTGTAACTAAATTATTTCTAAGTTACTTTATTTATATTTGGTCAAGTTACATTTCTTTTGAGTTTAAAAAGTAACTCAATTACAAAAGTTATTTTTTTTCAAAAATATTACTGGAGGTTAATAACCATGTGTTTGATACTACAATATCTACATAAACTAAATATTAAATTATGACAATCAACAATATTAAATTATTAACAAATACTAATTTTACTATAATATTAATCTTTATTATTTAAATTTATTTTAAACAAAAATGTATATTTAAAATTACAATCAATAATTTTAGATCGATTTTAACTGTATGTATTAAACCAAATAAAGTAATAAGTAATTAAGTAATAATTACTACAAATAAGTAATTCAAATTACATATAAATTACTTACAATAAAATGTAATTAAATTACTATCAAATTACTTAAAAAGTAATTTCGTTATAGTAACTTATAACTTAAGTTAAGATACTCCCCAACACTGATAATATATTATAATAATATATATAGAAATAGTTTAAAAAAGTGTTAGTATATAATTCATTATTTTATTTTATTATTTATTATATATTATTATATATAATCTATTCATTAATTCAATTTTAGTTCGTGATTCTTATATTCTTATATTTTTGTTATATATTAGAAGGTAAAAACATATCTACGTTATAATAATATGATACATTGTATTCACTGCGCTTAAATTACTCATTTTCTTTTTTTTTTTTTACAGAATTCAATTTGTAATTATTGCATAAAATGTATGTATGTATTTTTATTTACGTACTAAAAATACTTTAAAAAATTAAGGCGTACCATCCCCCCCCCCCCCTGTGACCAATCAATTAGACACTGTCCATTGAAATGGTGAGTTCCGTTGTGATTGATGTAGGCACACTATAAGAGGCCTACAACCCTTTCCAGTGTATACTCGGTCCGAAATCAAGAGGGACTAGGTAGGGAGTACTCGCACTGACATTAATGAGTATAGAAAACCTTTATATATTAATCGTATGAAATCGAAGCGTCACATGGGAGAGCCGAGAGATGGAATGTCACGCGGCATCTAGTGATTACAAAAATCGTTATTTCGATGTATATCGATTCAAAAGATCGATCTACTTTTGAGAATCACCTACTTCGAATCAGTGATTCAGTGATAGAATTTTAATTCGGTAGAATTAGTGAATCAAATGCGAGTCACTGAACGAAATGAACGAATCATAAAAACGATTCATTTTAGTGAGTCGAATCAAATGATTCGATTCATTTAAAAGATTCATTTTTCCCATCCCTATACCTATTATATTATAGCATTTATAGCCGTGGTTCTTACTTCTTATCAAATTTTGTTATAGTAAATTAAGAGCCATGGATTAAGGTATTGGTATAACCATTGATCGTAATCAATGGTATAACTTATAAGTACGGTTTTAGAAATATAAGCAATATTTTATGCTTATCAATTTAGTTAGTGTTAAGAATTAAAATTTATCGTATTTAATTGATTAATTTCGAAATTCAGGTATCTTTAGTCTTTACAAATTTACAATCTTCACATTATTTACAGCTTTAACAAGTGCTTAAGTATTAATGTGTATTGTTCAGTATTTTATATCTTGTTTAATTTAATAGATAAATTGTAGTATCAGTGTAGGTATATGATGTCCGTGTTTTAAAAAAGTTTGGAAACGTTTTTAGTTGTTATTTTTATTATAAGCAAGTTTAACTTAACGTGTTGAATTATGCTTCCTGGACGTGGAGTAGGTTGTTTGCCGGGTAAGTATAATAAAATATTATGTTATTTTTATACTGAAATCATAATTTATTAGTCATTACTATCTATTACTTTTCCCCATTAGTTTTTATTTTATATTTTGTCTTACAGATAATCCTTTGGGTCTTTCTTGGCATGATAGTAATTGGATTCCAATGCTCAATTCTAATAACATACTAGACTACTTCTCAGAACGTAGTAATCCATTCTACGATCGTAGTTGTAATAATGAAGCTATTAAAATGCAACGTCTCAGTATGGATCAGTTAAGGTAAGTATTTAACTCAAATTCATATTATAAACATATAGAACAATTAGAAAGTAATAAATATTTATGTTTTAAATTATTTAAATAGCTAACTTATATAAATTTTCTTTATGTTCAGTGATTGAAACTCTTATAAATTGAACTATGAAATATAATATAATGTTTTATGTTATTTATACACATTTTATTTTAGTAATATGATTGGATTAGAGTATTGTCTTCTTCATGTGCAAGAACCAATTTTGTATGTAGTACGTAAACAGCACAGACATTCTCCAACACATTCTACACCAATTGCTGATTTTTACATTGTTGCTGGAATAGTGTATCAAGCTCCAGACCTCCTTTCAATTATTAACTCTCACATGGTATGTAACATTTCTTTGATACATTATATATTATAATATGAATATTTATAATATATATGTATATATTAATATATTAGGCACAATATACAGTTACAGTTAAAATATAAAATCTATTATTAATTTTTTGTATCTAATATATACTTTGATAATTTATGAAATTTGAATAAGCACTAATGATGTATATAATTTATAAATTTCCAAAGTATTATATAAAATAATATTTGTTTTCAATATAGGCAACATTATCATTTCAAACATTATTTTTTTTTTTTTGGTGGTATTGTTCTTACATTCTTATAGATAGTAAGCAACCAACTGGTTTTTGTATTTTATCAGATGACTATCAACTTTTAAAATCTTTTATGATATATTATGCTCTTTTTAACTTAAGAAACATACTCAGTAGCTGACCTGAGTTTAAGATCATGGTTTCAATATATATCAAGCATATAGATAGTATAACTTTATAATACCTACAACAAAAGTAGTGATTTCCAACAACTGATATTTGTACTTGAGATTAATTAATAATATATTTATTAAAATGTTTAAAACACTGCTTCTAATAATAATGTTAATTTGTAAAATTAACTCTAGATACTTATAATGTAACAATATATTGTATATTAATGGGTGTATATATACTAAATATTTTAGTATTTTATTATCATCTAATATATTATATTTAATACAATATTTCAAAATGTTTTTTTTTTTTTTTTTTTTTAAGATGTCTTCAGCATACCATTTAGAAACTGCATTTGAAGAACTAAATTCGTTAGCTAGATTTCACCCATCTAAAGGTTATTCATGGGAAAATCGTAGACCTGGTCAGCCAACTGGTCCTGTAACAGCTCCTCCACCATCTCCAGTTAAAGTCACTGGCAAAAGAGACATTGAAGAAGCTAGTTCCCAATTTCAAAGATTACGTGTTGATATGTTGTTAGTTGAATTAACTAGAAAGTTTCCTTTACCTTTACCTCAAGCTCTTGCAACAGCACCTCAAAATACTATGAATAATCAACAAACAAGTAAACACATTTTTTAAATAATTAAAATTGTTATATTTTAATTTAATTACCTAATTATGATGTACAGTATTTGATTGAGGATGGTACACTTTGCATAGTACAGAGAATTCCTTCTTTTTTAGAAATATTTCTGTTTAATTCTACATTTTTTATTTAAATAATACTAAGGATGGGGTATTAAGAATTCATATTCACTTTTATTTTAATAATTATTATAAGTTATACATATACTGGTTTTAAATTATTTTGTTATTAATATGGTATATTAAAATGAAAATATCAGTAATTGGAATTTGATTATATCAAAGCTAATTATAATAAAATAATATTTATTTTTTTCAGATGAAGTGAATAAAAAAGAAATGAAACAAGAAATAAAACAGGAAATAATTCAAGATATAAATATTAAACAAGAATCTCAGCCTACTAACTCTTTATCACCATCAATGAGACCACCCCCAGAAAAGAAGTTTAAACCGGCATGATTCACTTCTTATGTATAATGTGTATAATTATTATGTATATATTTATTTATATGATTTGCTTTTTAAATAGGGATTAAAGAGAACATAATATGAAAAATATACTTACTATAACCTTTTACTTAAAATAGTTTTGATTCAAAATTAATTATTAAGTTATTTTTATACCATAAATGATAATTATCTTAGAATGAAAAAACTGTGTTCAAAATAACTATTCAGTTTTTAGTGTTAAGTATTTATGTATTTGTGTTAAATGTTAAGAAAAAAAAAGATACAATAAACAATTATAAAACATATATTGTATAATATATATATGATAATTTTAATTTTTGATGTTTATTATACCAAATTAAAACCAGTTTGAGTTAGTTGACACTTGACAATGTTTTAGTATGATAACAAGGCATCATCTTTAGTTTTATTGTGGTTTTATATCATAGCATAAGCCAACTTATTTTACCTGTTGGCTGTTGGCTATTATGAATTTTAATATATCATTATAATATATAAAAAATATATTATGAGAAAAACAACTGTTAGTATTTTATAGATTTCTATTTATAAATTATTTGATCTGTTTCCATGTATTATTTATAAGAAATATTGATAAAATGCATGATAATATTACTATATTATGTTTATTTTGCATAAGTACTCAATTTTAGTGTTTTTGAGAATTTTAAATGTTTTAATAATATATATAATTCTTCTTTTTTTTATTTTAGATATTTATATTCAAAATACTTACATTTTAAATTATTTAATATATTGTAAACATTCTTTTAGTGCAAGCATGTCAAACACAAAGTATCAAGTGTGTCAAATATATTGAATAGTTTACTATTTTTCAATTTAATTCATTACGTTTATGAACGTAGCAGATACAATTAAATTAAAAAAGGTTAGCTTATCAGAAGATAAGATAGTAAAATAATGTAGGTATACCAGATAAACCATTCTCTTAGAATCTAAGATAGTTGTGACACAGCATTAATATTTTATTATTTTTTTTTTTCTTGTCCATTAATATTGGTAGCCATGGGCCACAAAAAATTGAGCAGAGGGCCGTGTATTTGGCATGTCTGTTTTAGTGTACACATTATTATGCATAATTATTGCTCGACTTATTTTAATAATACGTTTATAATACATCATGTGTTAGTACCTAATTCATCTAAGTTACAGATACATTATATATGATGTACCAACACTTTATACTATAGGTATAGGATAGGTATTAGATATAATACAGGTTGTAGATTTATTATGGCCTAAAAAATGGGCATAACATTTGAAAATTATCATTTTTTATCGTTACTTTTAAATACATTATTAAAAACTATATTATTATTAGAAAATTAATCCAGTAGGTACTTAAATATTTTCTCCAATTGAATTGTTAAATATCTCATTTCTCATATACATATTCTGTACCTACTAGAAATTAAACATATCACATAATAAAGTAAACGTCAGATACAGTCTCATTAAAATCAACATATAAAGTAGGTAGGTAATATTATGTCTATTCTCAAAAATATGTAATAAATAATGATTGTCTAGCAGTGGCGGTTCTAGCGTATGGGCAGAGTGGGCAGCTGCCCATACCAAAATTTCTGGTGCCCATTATTTTAAAAATGTTATTTTTATACAAAAATAAGATGGTTCATAATTTGATAAATTATAATGATAATTTACAATTATATTATTATCATTGCATTGATGACGAACTTACTAATATACACGATTAAAGATATAATAGGTATTATATCTTTAATCGTGCTAATATAATATTATCTATGTGATAATGTCGTTGCTATAGTCACAGATATATACTAATACTAGATAGCCGTCTTCTTGTTATCAGTGAAACACGCCGCCATATGCAAAGAATACTCTCGGTAAACAAACGTTATCACTTAGTAAACAACAAAATAATATTATGATATTCTGTTCAGTCGTTCAGTATTCTAGTTGAATAATAAATTACTTATTGTTGGTAAATAGTAGTGCCTACCTACTTATATTTGTATTACCTACTGTTTAATAATTGTTATTTTTGTTAATAATATAAGTAATTATAATAAGGTAGTACCTGTAATTTATATCCTAGTATTTTTGACAATGTTTCCTTATTTCATATTTCATAATTCATAAAACATTACAATTTAGTTATATCCCAAATTTACGTAGATTAGTATAAATATATACTGTATAGGTTAATTAACAGTTTTGTCTAATACTATAAAACAGAGAACTGAAAAAGTGAGAATTAATAAAATATAGGTAAGTACTAAGTAATACAATGATATAAATAAATGTCTATAATATAATAATATGTATTATACTGATAAAAGTCTAATATTGATAACGTTTGTTTACCGAGTTGTATTCTTTGCATATGGCGTCGGTTTCAATTATTTTGCGGCGGTGTATACAAAGACGGCTATCTAGTATTAGTATATATCTGTGGCTATAGTAGAGCTTGCCGCTGTTTTAGCGTTGATAGTACTATCTTAGTTCATGGCGGAAGCGAACGACACCAGACGTTCGAAACGGTAGCTATCTTCATAATAACCGGCATAACGTGATAACAAATTATTACATATTGTGTAAATATAATTTGACTATTGTATTGTTTTTTTCTCATTGTGAATTTTCGTTGTTTCTATTAATTTAATATAATGAAGAGATTTTTAACTCATTTTTCCAAACATAAGGCCGAAAAAACAATTGAAGGAGACACACCTAAATCTCCATCAGTACATACAAATAATTCTACAGCTAGTGAAAACACCAGTGTAAATAGCAGTATTGCTTTTAACCCAAAACATTAAGACATATTTAAGATCAACTATGAAGAGTTCACGATTAAGTAGTCTTACACTTTTATCAATTGATTTTGAAAACTCAGACAAATTATTAAAAGATCCAACTGCTGTCCTTGAAGTTTTTTCAAGCATGAAAAACAGAAGAATACAATTTCAAATTTAGCTTACAATATTTTTTAAAATTAGTTTGAACAGTCTGAACTTTTTTGACAGTTAAATTTAAATATATTTAAATAAATATAATTATACATAATTAGTTCAAAATTATGGATTACTCTATTTTTTTTATATTTAAAACCTTTATTACCTAGCTATTATATTTATGTTGCGTCCCTTATGTCAACGTCGATTCATATATCAACGTAGAAATAGAAATACTAATGTTTGCAAGTTAAAAGATTAAGTCTTTATTTAATACAATTAACTCGTACAAGAATACAATTTTATAAGCACAAGATGGTGTGAGTGGTGTTACGACCTGCCTCTGAGCGTCTCGAATATCCCTAACCGTCTGCTGAGCTCTTGCCCCGGTCTCCCTTATATATGGTTAACCGTCAAGAGTGGTGACTGGGGAGGTGACGACTTCCGATGACCTAAAGGAGCTCTCTAAATTAAATGTATTATTCAGTTGTGAGTTGGGTGCCTTTCTTGCGATTTCATCGGTTCTAAGAATTACAAGACGTGTGATCAAGTCTTAATTGTCATATTAAATAGTACAATGTTAACACTATCGTTTACTCATCATTTCTGAGAAGTCCAGGACGTATGATCATGTCTTATTCATTATATTAAATATCACGATGTGCAGGTGTTCGCCCTATCCGTTGGTGCTACACTGTTTGAATATATTATTCCATCGGTATACACATCACCTCTCCGTATAATATATATATGTTGAAATAACACGGTACGTAACAATTAATATGAATATTTTAAGCTATACACTATAATAATAGGTAATAATACTATAATTTTATTATATAAATGTTGTGGGGAAGGGGGAGGATTATACGCAGTTAAAACCTAATTTTAAATCTACTGTTGCCCATACGAAAATTTAGTCTTAGAACCGCGCCTGTTGTCTAGTAATATACACTGGTCATTCAATATTAAATAATTAACGGTGTGACTTGGAAAAATAACTAAAGTTCCATGGTATTTTAAACTTATTTTATGCATGCTATATTTATTGAGCTATGAGTATAGAAAGCAAAACTTATAAAAGACGTCTTTGACATTGGTCATTGACTACCACAAGACATAGTTTTAACGAATACTGAGGACTGAGCAGTCTTCATTAAAAGATCAATATCGCACGTATTATACATTAAATTAGGTACTATTAATTAAGTATATGATAAATATGTATTTTAGAATCTAAGATCATTGTTTTGTATATGATTTAAGATGTATGTATTATAAATACCTATCAATAATTATATTATATTACTACCAATAAGCAATATTACCAATAT